ATCAATGATCATGATATCATGTAATATATATCAACCTGACCTGCATGGAACACTACGTACTGCGTACTCAAACATGTGTACATACATATAACTATCCCCTACTACATAACTACTACATACTACATACATGTGTACGGAGTACCCCGTAATGCATGCATACTGCATACAGCAAGCCCGTCCCGAAAGCCATCTAGAATCCGGGACGGGGCCGAAGGATGAGTTCTAAGGTGGGAGGTTGCACGGCAGTTTTGATTTTGGGGGGATTTGTTGTGGAGGTGGGCTGGGTGAGTTGGGAAGGGAGGAGGGTCTGTGGGGTCTCTGGTAGATGAATGGTCTTGTGATCTTTTGGGTTGTTCAAGGGGGATTGGAATGGGGCGATAGGTATGAATATATGGAGGTGGCGAGGGAGAAGGAGAGGGAAGAGGTTGACGCCGGGGTTTGGATTTTGGTTTGGGCTGGGAGAGGGGGTTTGGTGCCTGATTGGGATTGGGTATGGATTCGATGCATAGGAGGCGTTAGTGGTGCAGGTTGATAGTTTTGGTTCAGCTACTGTTGTAGATTGAATGTGGACATGAAATGGTATACCGAACAAGGCATGTATTCCAGAAGAAATTCCAATGGTATTGGGTATCGAAGTTAGACTAAGTATATACAGACGAGTAGGCAGTAAAAAGGACTAGTTCAACGGCGATGAAGTTCACCAAAGTCTAGCTCAAACCACAATCAAGAGATTATAGTCTGGTTTTTATAGTAGTCGCAAGCATGAGGATGCTGCAGACAATACTTGGGCACAAGCACAGTAGCCATCACACCATTGGCAACCAAGTATTCACGGAAGTTCAGCAGACGCTGAGTCATTTTGTTGGTGCGCTTTCTGCCTGCGGCATCACGGTTACCAGACCAGACAAGCTCACCCAGCGCAGCAGCGCGAGGCCAGAACGCGCTGGAGATGGTCACATCGTCGATCTGCTCCGACCACAAGGGAGACTCAGCGCCGATAACGTGCTTCGCTTCGGAGGCAGTGAGGTTCGTGAGGAAGTCGTAGTCATAGATACGCTGCCAGGTCTTGTAGGGTGCGCACCAGTCGCCGCCACCACCGCCGTAGTTGAAGGTCACGCCACCAGCGGTGTTGCTCTGCTCGTTGTAGCGGGGGTCATTGGTGATAGCGCCGCCGTGTCCGCAGTCGAGGTAGAGGAAATCGGAGGAGGAAACGACGACGTCGTAGCCGGCTGAGGTGAGCTTTTTAATGTTCCCATCGCCGCTGTTCCAGCTCTGCATGATGATGTCTTTGGGCACGTCGTGGGCGCTCTCAGTCGCGATGGCCATGTCTTCCCACATCATGAGGCGGCGGTGGTCACCGACATCTCGGAAGATGGGCAAGGCGTGGTCTACCCAGTACTGACTGAGGTCTCTGTAGGTGCGCGAGGGATCCTCGGCAAACCACTCGGTGACGTAAGTGCTGAAGTTATAGCAGTTGGGCTGGATCTCGTCACCACCAACATGGAAGATGTTGTCGCTGAAGATATGAGACAGTTCTTGGTAGACATTCTTGACGACTTCGTAGGTCTTGGGGTAGATGATATCGAGTTGGCCAGGGTTCGGCTCGACAGCGGTGTGTTCCGCCCACACATCGTTCGACCACCATGTGTTGGCACAAGCCACAATCTCTGGGTCGACCTGTTGCCAGCCCGAGGCAGAGTGACCGGGCATGTCGACCTCGGGGATGACGCGGACACCTCGCGCGCGGGCATAGGCAATCACGCGACGCATGTCTCTTTCGGTGTAGATTTCGCGAGGCGAGTAGGCATCTTTGGTCATCTCGGGGTAGGAGACCATCTGCATGGGCCAGGACTGAGCATCGTCCAAGTGCCAGTGGAGGACATTCAGCTTGGACAGAGCCATACCGTCGATCTGCTCGAGGATCTTGCGAACGGTGATGAAGTTGCGACCAGAGTCCATCATGATACCTCGGTGGGGGTACAGCGGGGCATCTTGGATCTTGACAGGCTGTTCAATGATCAGGCCGCCCTTTCCATCCGAGATGATAATCTGCTGTAGGGTGGTGAAGGCGTGCAATACACCCCAGACGGTCTGAGCATTGATCCGGATGCTGCCATTGGCCACCACCAATGTATAGGATTCATCCACGCCATGTTGGAGATCGACATCGTTATCCACCACATGGACGTCGACGTTGTGGGCTGCGGAGGGCGCGCGTTTGGCCTTGGAGATCGGGGTGGACACAGGGGTCGAGGTAGGGAAGGCTGGGTAGGAGGCGATAGGAGCTTCAACAGCGGCGGGGACCCATTCTAGGGTGGTGATGGTTTTCCATGCTCGCTCCCAAGCTTGAGTGACCACAGGAGACTGACGACCGTTCAAATTCAAGTGATTGACTTGGATTGGACCGGAGGACCCCCAAGTGATGTTACGGGGGGCGGGAAGTGGATTCACCTGAACGGCGGAAACAGCCGTCAGGGCCCCGAGCACACTCAGGACAGAGGCGAACTTCATGTTGATGATTTGAGTGATGATGAGAAAAAGAAAAACTGAAACAAGGAGATAGCCAGAGTTATTTATGTTCAGCTGCATTGCCGATCTTTCATCGGAATGTGTGTAGGATGCAACCTGGGGCAGATCGAGATCGAAAAATAAACAGAACTCCCTTGTTACATTGCATCTGCCACTAAACCAACTCAAGTCAATGCGTTTCAAAAGATTCAAAAGGAAGAAAAAGTGCAACGTCTACATGCAACTTCAACTCTCCTCAGATAACAAGATGGACACATATTAAAAGAGGGGGAGAGCTACGGACCGTCGGATTTTACAGGGAAATGACACAGTCACACTCTGATGTCGATCTATCAAGCAACCTTGACACCTCAAAAACACTCGAAAACACTCGAAAACACTTTCCACATGGGAGTTCAGGTATCATTTAATCTACTTCATATCTATTAGACCGTCTCCAACGACTTTTCCAACTCCATCCCCTCCCGGAACTCCTCCTTGATAGCTGCTGCAGCCTTATCAGAGGGGACAACACAAGGCCGTCGAGGAAGACCACCATACCCACGGTATGATTGCAGACCAGTCTTAACAGCGATAAAGCCACCTTGGATAGCAGACCAGTCAGCGCGCGCAACAACAGCCTGCACCTTTTGCGCCTCCTGAACCTTGCCCGCACGATACAACTCCATAACACGCACACACGAGCGAGGAATCATATTAGCAACCCCACCAATAATCCCCGCCCCACCGGCAATAAGCGTCTGCAGCGTGAAATCGGCCGAACCACCAAAAGTCAAGAAATCAGGCTTCGCCGCCGCAACCCGAGCCAGCTTACCAGTGTTACCGCACGTGAGCTTGCACCCGATGATATTGGGGTGTTCGGACAGAGTGACGATATCATCTGAGCTAAGATCAAGGCCGGACTGCACAGCAGGGAAGTTGTAGATGAGCACAGGCACGGGCGAGGCATCGGCCACGGCGCGGAAGTGAGCGTGCATGGACTCAGTGCTCACGAGTGCCTTGTAGTAGCTAGGTGGAAGGACGAGGACAGCGTCGGCGCCTGCTGCACCAGCGTCCTGGCACAACTGGATGGTCTCACGGGTTGAGGCGGCACCGGCGCCGGCAATCACTGGCATGCTGGTGTAGCCGGCTTCGTCGACGGCGCGGCGTGTGGCAGCTGTGATGGCCTTGCGCTCTTCACGATCTAGGTGCACGGCTTCGCCATTACTGCCCTGGGTTACTAGGCCCGTTACGCCGCTGCGGGCGAGATAGACGGCGTGCTTCTCGACTGTTGCGAGATCGACTTCTTCGTCGGGTTTGAAGAATGCTACGGTGGGGACATAGACACCGTGGGGAAGGGGATTTCGGTTTGTTCCGTTGGTCATTTTGGAGGAGGTGAGGTTGATCTTTTGATTTGTTAGTACTTGTAAGTTTCTCTCATCTTCATACTAACCTCAGAAATATATCAGAGGGGCAATGAGGGGAATCAATATTGGCGGATCTACAGCTATTTAGCTGGGCATTTCCCCCACGTCCTACCCCACTGGTTATGAATTAGCCGAATGATTTCACATTCGAAACTTGGCAAATCTGCGTGTGAGCGATGCTTTTCCATTCGGACATCATTTTCCCCCCTCCCCCACGCTTTATGCGGGGTTGAGCCCCGAGGTATATGATGCGTCGTACATAGAGCACTCGCATGTGTACTGGTATTTTACTTATTAACTTATTAACTTGATTGGAAGTATTCTAGTTTCCTCTCTCTCTTGGAATCACAAAACTGGAGAGATCTCCTTGTGTTAGGCTTTGTGCTACGATCTGGATATACTCCTGAATCTGCTCAGAGCTATATCGGTATTACTGTCACTACTACGAAGTACTGTCTATGTATTACCCGACATACCCTCGACAAATACAGTTATCCAATGAAGGTCTTAGACCACTCGCACCCCTTATATATGGGAATTGATTGGAATCCCGACCTGGCAATGGTTGGATTGCCGTCCCCCACACTGGGGCCGTGGGGGTATGTCTTTTCCGAGATATTGGGGATATTGGGAATATTTTAGATATTTTAGATATTTTTCCATTTTTATTGGAGGATATTTGATCAAGGGAGTCATCTAGCAGAATTAAAATGTGTAGATTGAAAGCAGAGTGAAGGTCCAACCTATATTGTAGGTCGTTGCCTATTAGTGATGTCTCTGAACAGGCTGAATCAATTATATCAATTCTGAATAGAAGAATAGAAGAAAAAACAGCATTGTGTATTTGTGAATAGAATCATAAACCAATAGATAATGTTGTCCAGGTAGAACACCTTTGGATAAACCACCTTCAACACTTTAAACACCTTTAAACACCTTGGAACACCTTGGAACACCTCAAACACCTCGTCCGCCAAGAACTTCTCTGCCCATAACTCATCCCCAAATCCCTGTAAAACTCTGGGGAATCCCGAATCCACCACACAATGAACTGATCTCCCAACAATGGCCATCCTGTCGCGGTCTTCCCTCCGCTCTGTGCGACGGGCGCCCGAAGAACCTGCCGACGGTCTGGCACCGCCGACAAAGAAACCGCGCATCGAAAATGGCGACCGCAAGAGCTCCCCTGATTGTCTCGACACCAAAGATCCGACCTCGAAATCCCGTACCTCCTTGAAACCCTCGCGCCCGCGCACCTCCAATCGCACTCGTCGCGGCTCCTCTTCCTCCGTTGACACAGTCGCCTCCTCCGTCGGCCGATTGACGACCCCAGCGACACGTACAAACGGAAATGGGACCCTCAAGACCCCACGCGTCCGCCGTGACCCAGGAACTCCCTCCGGTGCAGATTTGTTGCGCGGCGTGCATGAGTCGCCAGATCCATTGGACACAATCTCTCCGGCGCCCTCGGTCGCGAAGCAGCGCACTGTCACCCCGGCGAATGTGGACTCTAAGGTCAAACCGCCCGTTTCGCCTGTGACCCGCACGACTCGTCGCAATGAGAATCGATCGCTGGCCGACGTTGACGAGAACGCGATCAAGGGAGAGGGTGCTGTGCAGGGCGCGACTCCGGCGCGAGATACCAAGCGCGATACGCCTGATGAGCAGGCTGCGTCGGTAGATACACGGTCGGGGAGACGGTCGTTGCGTTCGACCGATACGGGATCACGGTGCAAGAGTGAGCTTGCGCAGTATTTCCACAACTATGAACAGATTATCAGTCTGGAAGTCCCTGAACCTGGTGAGTTCCTCGACCGTGGGAGTGGATTGAGCGCATGGCTGACATTGGATACTATACAGAATTCCTCGCCGCTAAAACAACTATCACTCTCGTGGACGATCTATCGCGACCACTACCTTTCTGCTCAAACCCCGAACCTACACCCTTTGGTAACCCGCTACTGAAGCTCTACGACTGTGAAAAGATCACCCTCCCAACACCCGCATCGAATACACCTGCAATCGACCCACTGGGCGAGGAGACCTATTTCCGTGCGCACCGCAAGTTCGAACGACAAGAGAAACAACTCCGAAACATCGAGCGCAACCGCGCACAGCACGAACAGCAAGTCCTAGAGCGTCTCTTGGACGAGCTACGCGGCCATGACTGGCTACGCATTATGGGACTGACGGGCGTTCACGAAAGCGACAAGAAGCTCTATGAGCCGAAGCGTGATATCTTAATCCAAGAGCTAGTCACTCTGGTCAACAAGTTCCAGGCATGGAAAGACGAAGAGCGTCGCCGCAAACTGGAAAAGGAAAAAGCTCACCCGGTGCCAAGCACCGAGGCAGTACCCAATGTCCCGCCCCAACAGCGCTCGCGCAAACGATCCCGTCCAGCTGAAGACGTGCATACCTCTCCGGTACCGGGGACTGATCCACACAGCACGCCAGACGTAGACGCAGAGCCAGATCCAGACCCAAGTGATGTCGACGCCTTAGCTGCACGTCAGCTTCATCAAGAAGCTCGCTCAGCTGGCGCTGCTAAATCGCGCAAGACAACACCTGCTGCTCGCAAGTCTATCTCCAAACCCGCCCCTAACACTAACACTGCCAACACTACCACTACCAACATAAACACAAACGACCCCGAACCAACACCCACTCCCAAACACAAAAAACCCAACCCAACACCAACAAAGCCTCAACCTCAACCCCCAGCCCCAACCCAAAACTCAACCCAAAAGCCCGCCCCACGACTCCAACAAGCCTCCCTCTCCCACTTCTGGAACCCCGCCCCCCGCCCTGGCCCATTCACATCCTTCTTCCGCCAACGACACGTCCGCGAAGCAGCCATCGCTGCAACAAAAGGTATCCGCCGCGGCGGGTCCCGCTCAACCCTCGCATTCGGATATCCGGTCCCTGAACAGGCGGAACAGGAATTCGAACTAGCGCCGGAGATTCTGAATGAGGATTCTATTCAGCAGTCGCAAAGGAAAAGGAGGAGACTTAAGAGGCGGAGTTTGGGCGGTTGATTGGGTGTGATTGGTGAGTTCTACAATGGTGCATGGTGGTGCCTGCTGCATGGATGGTTGGTGGTTTTCCTTTTCTTTTCTTTTTTTGTATGATAGCATTTTTACTAGCATGGTGTTCTGTGTTTTGCTTTTTATCTTGTTTCCGGACTGGGAAGTCTGCTGGCGCTGTTGGTGTTGGTTAGTGATGGATGGGATGGGATGCATTCCTGGCTGAGGTCCACATTTGTTTATTTTTGTACAGGTACATCGGCTAGTTCATATTCAATCCTGATGATTGAATAGATATTATTATTCTGAAATCGATATTACTAGTACAATCATCCAACCTCTAGATATTCGTACATATGCTGTATGCAGGTCGGGATATCATTGCAGCCGCTGTTGGTGCTGACGACATGCATGAACTCGTATGCACTATCCAAGATAGTACCTAACCAGGCGCTGAGATGATCCTTCATTGCAATAGTAGTGACAGCGCTTACAAGTTGCATTACCAATGCAAGTCAAGACTGTATTGGCTTAGTTTAGATATCCCAAGTTACAAGCTTGTGTGTTGGTTCATGGGCTGTTAGTTCATGGGCTGTTGGTTATGGGTTTGTGCCATTCCAGCCATATCGGGTCATCTCTATCTTAAGACTAGGATTGCCTAGTTTCCTGTGGGCAGCTGGAGGCTTTCAGATAAGAGGATCTGTGTTGATATTTTGCTCTGGCTTATCCGGCTTCTCGGTGAGGTAGATCTTGAGCTTGAAGGATACCTAGACGATGATGTTGGTGAAGAAGGAAGCCCAATAGTAGATATAAGCTGAGGTGGTTAAAAAGTTGGGTTACATGGCTTATAGATCGAAGTGTGTAGGAAAACATGCGGAGTTCTTTCTGGATTGTATTGAATATTTCATTGAAATGGATAGTTTGCCTAAATAGGTCACTTTCTATATGATAACATCATCCATGGCTTGGAATGTCGTACTCAACCGGTTCAACACACTCACTGTAGTAAGTGTCGTCGCGAAAAAAAGGCAACAGTATTTTTCTATTCCTTACGATGAAGGCTTTGGTAGTTGGTGCTAGAAAGTTGTCTGCTAGCCCGCATGTCAGGGGCCAATCGGCGGAAATCGATGAGCATGATCATCACCAGATCATGTCTTGTTCTGGCCTCGGTCCCGAAATGGGATATCTTTTCCGTTCACATGACAGAAAACCTCTTGGTGTTGATTTTGAGTTCGGAGAAGCACTTGGAGTACCAGACTGGTAAGGGCAGCATCGGCTATGTACTCAGTGAAGATCGGTAGGTCTTGGCCATGTGATCAAGCTGGTCGCCCATGAGGGGGTGGAAGTCGCTCTCGTCATCAAGATCTTGTCCTGAGGCTTCCAAGTAAAACACATGCTGATTGAACACAAAACCAGACGAATGACCAGCACACACTCCCAGCGTGGGGAACATCAGACCTTACAGTAAGGTCGGTTATAAGTAGGAAGCCCCTCGAACAAATGTGTGAAGAGGAGCTCGATGGCTGTAAGAAATGGCTCTAGATCGATGGTTGATAGTAATCGGGCATGGTCTTCCCAGGTCATTCGAAGAACCAATCTGGTGAATGTCATCGACAACCTGGATCAGGAGTTCGGAGAGGTTGTCAGCAGCATAAGGCAGACCAGAGCTCGGTGAGATCAATGATTATAATGAGTTCGATTATTTGCATGATGGCACCGTGACAAATAACCTGGAGATGAGGTGTTGATGGGGGTGGGTTGGCGGGCTCTAGACTAGAGATGCCATTGCTTTCCTTCATGGATGGGTCGGTTGTAAGGCGTAGGTTGCCAAGCTTGTTGGTGCGTTTACGTCCGAACCGGGACATCACTCTGGAATTTCGCTGACACCTTGTCGACCACCTTTTCGGAGTCATACACACTCTCTGTGGTATTTTCCTCAAGGATAAGCATGATGACCAACCACTTGGGTTCATGAGGGTGTGATGACCTTATTCTTTTTTTTGTAGACAGAAAGCCAAAGTCCGTTTAGCTTGTCGTGAGTGATGCCATGCCCAGCATAGAAGGAGGTGGGGAAAGTCGGTTTTGGGAGTTGGTGTTTTCATGACTTCTTTCTGTAGCTGGCTTTTGAGATCCCAGGTAGGAGGGTGACCCTTACTCTTTAGGATATTTGGCAGTGATTTCCCCTTGGGTTAGGCCATCCTTTCTAGGGCAGTTCTTAAGGCAAGAAGAGCCGCCTCTTTCGAGTTTACTGCGATGGAAAGCTCGGCGAGCTGTGCGAGGCAGGAGTTTGACCAATAGTAGATGCCATAGTGTTGGAACTCGAATGGTTGCTGTAGAGTCGGCTTGTTGGAGGTAATATGAGGGGGATTGTAAGAAAGTAAAATGATGAAGTTGCTTAAAATTTGTTGATGGGAAGGAGACCCTTAGAGACGAGGGTCTTTTCTTTGATCCTTTGATATACAGGGCTAGTACAGTGGTTTATTATGTAATGTTTGTCTTGAACACCTTCCAAGGTTCCTATGGCGATGAAAGTCAATCGAAGAGTACCCATGAGCAATCTGGAAACGAATGGGATCAAACAAGCCAATAGTCTTAGCAGGCTCCTGAAATCATCACGAAGAAAAGTGAATCTAGCTAACACAATTTCCAAATCCGAGGTCGTCATACTTCCAGCCTCATCACCAGCTGAAAGAGATATACAAATAAATTAACAAGCTTTGCAGTAAGTTGCAGACGTATCTTACACCCAGGGCTGAATATGATTCTTGCAGCATCGACCCTCGCATTTTGAGATTCTGGGCGTTGGCTTCATTGTGAACTTCATATCTTTGACGTCGCCATTTCATCCTCAGAACTTCCTACACCTGGCAGGCTGTTCATCGTGCCATGCTATACCCTCTAACTCTTCGCAATTGCCTGCACACTGTGGATGTTAATTGAAGATATCGACAGGGAATGCGGCAGTGTCGCTCAAACTCTCCCTCGGGACAATCCATTTTTTTCTGACAGCGTCATTCAAGCTCAAAGCACAATCAAGCTATTTAAATTAGAAGCCAAATAACACCTCCATGGCATGACCAAGGATACCTGGTACAAAATTCCCACCACGTCTGATTTGGGGGATATTGTGTGGTTGAGACCATCTTTTAGTGATAGATGGGGTTATAGTCGATGAAAGAGAGGAACAGGGTTGGGGGTTGATATAACAAAATCATGCAAGTCCTATAGCTATATCCACTTAAACTGTTGTATATGAATATGAGATCGTATAATTAGAAACCGGAACTAACGACCCAACTCCGACCCTATCTACATCCGAACGCCTCGTGCAATTTAGTGCAGATATGCAAGCACGACATCCTGCCAGGTTAATTTAATAGGCTAGACCGATCAAAATAAGCTCATAAGGCTCATAAGTTTAAAGTTCCTCTAAATCTGCACGTGGGCCGAGAAATTCGCCTCTGATCTTCAACAGTTTTTGAGATTTTCATCCCAGACATGAAACCCCTGTAGAGTCAGAGTCAGGTACGAACCTCTATAATAAGGAGGCCGGCATCGGAGCGAAGTTTTCCTTTCCCCCAGTTTTGACCAGCAGATTTGCCCATTTGGATCCAGAGTGCCAAGTCCCTTTCGGCTTTTCCATTACGTCGCGACGAGGTGATTCGCCGTTTCGGTCCGCAGGTCGGCGATCCACATCTGTTTCGGGTGGCGGATTCTTTATTCTTCAATTTACTGACTTGGTGGGTGCTTTTTTTTTTCTTACAAGGTTTTTTGAATAGTATCCTCCTTTAAGATCTCTATCTCTCTTTGAAATCGTTGTATCAAGTGATTTGCTTTTGTTCGCTGCGTTTTCGTTCGATTCCCGCCGTGATATCTACTTCCCGGGTATAGGTCGCTGGTTTTGATATCTTCACTATGAGCTCCTCACCTATTGGTTTGGATTTTGATTCCAATGAGAAGAGTCACTATGTCAATCCTGCCGACTTGCAGTCTGATCCTGAGAAGTTTGTCGAGGTCCCGAAAGTCAGGCAAGATGCTTTCGGCGACGAGGAGTTCGCTGAAGTCAAGTACAAAGTACTCAAGTGGTGGTATGTTTGCATAGCTCGAAAATTGCAATAGCTCTGTGACTAACTCTTATTTTGTTCAGGCAATGTGGTCTGCGTATGTGATAACATGCTATATCAAACTCAAACCTCCAATCTAACATTCTATTAGTGATGGTCGCCGAAACAGTATCACTGGGTGTGCTTTCACTGCCCGCAGCTGTCGCAGGTCTGGGACTTCTTCCGTAAGTCTACCTTCTGACTCACAATACAGGAATTGGAGTTGGAGCTAATTATATTCACAGCGCGATCCTCGTCTTGATCTTCCTAGGTTCACTGGCCACATACACCGGCTACGTGATCGGACAGATGAAATGGAAATATCCACACATCTCCACGATGGCAGATGCCGGCGAAGTGATAGCAGGGAAATGGGGAAAAGAAATCCTCGGCGCTGCACAGATCATTTTCTTCATCTTCATAATGGCCAGTCACCTCTTGACCTTCACCGTTGCCATGAACACTATCACAAACCACGGCACTTGCTCCATCGTCTTCGGAATCGTCGGCATGGTCATCTCCTTCATCTGCTCTTTACCTCGCACTCTCGAAAAGATGTCATGGCTATCTATAGTTTGTACGTTTCCATTCACCCTTCCCTTCCCTTTCAAGAAAGAACAACCCACTAACAAACCCCAGCATTCGCAAGTATCATGACATCAGTCATAATCGTCATGATCGCCGTCGGAATCACAAAACCAGGACAAGGCGTCGTTGCAGTCGTCAACACAGACCTCTTCCACGGCTTTTCAGCAGTCTGCAACATCGTCTTTGCATTCTGCGGCCACGCAGCCTTCTTCGGTCTCATGGCTGAACTCAAGAACCCGAGAGACTTCACAAAATCCCTCCTTCTCTTGCAAGGTATCGACATGGGTCTGTACATCACCGCCGCGCTAGTCATCTACCGGTACGCCGGCAGCGACGTGACATCTCCAGCGCTGGGCTCCGCCTCGCCAATGGTCGCGAAAGTCGCATACGGCATCTCCCTACCGACTATCATCATCGCCGGTGTGATCAACGGCCATGTCGCGTTCAAATATGTATACTTGCGTATTTTCCAGGGTACAGACCGTTTGCACAAGCGCGACTGGATCGCCACCGGATCGTGGATTGGTATTGCCCTCGCGCTGTGGATTATGGCGTGGATTATTTCCTCCGCCATTCCGGTGTTCAGTAATCTGCTCAGTTTGATTACCGCGCTGTTTGCCAGTTGGTTTACCTACGGCTTCAGTGGAGTCTTTTGGTTGTTCATGAATAAGGGTCAGTGGTTCTCCTCGCCGAGGAAAATTGCCCTCACTTTCCTGAACTTCTTTGCTATTTCTGTTGGTGCCGCGCTGTGCGGTCTTGGCCTTTGGGTCTCCGGGAAAGCTCTGCATGATAACCCCAGCAGTGCGAGCTTCTCTTGTGCGAATAATGCTTAGATGCATGTGCGCTTTTGCTTTTTTGCTGCTGGGTTAGCTTGGCTTGTATAAAACCGTATAGAAGGGGTTTCTGGCGTTCTGCTTTCGCATTCGGGGGCATTTTCTTTTTGATACTTCGATACCTTGTGCCGATCTCGAGTTGCTGCTCGAGGTGGCTCTGTCTTGCATATACAAATTACGATGCTGCATGGAAATAGACGTGTATTAATATAATCATATGCTGAAAAATTGACTCTTCCCCTTTGAATAGTATAACTAGCGGTTTAAATACTATAGGTAGTTTATAGAAAGATACCTATAACTATATAAAGTATCTTATATAAGTAAGATTTTTTTACCGCATTTATACTATCTAAAGAGACTATGTATCTAAAAAGACATCACAATGCCGCAAACACAGCCGACTATTCATGTAAGAATAAAAGGGGAAGTAGAAGAAGCCGAGGAATCATGTAGGTCTTAAAGAAAACATTGCGAAATTAAGATAAATAGTAAGTAGCTCGACCGAAATTTCATTTTAATCAATTTGGACTTCATAATCGGATAAGCCGAAGATCAGGTGTTATGCTCACTGCTAGCAGTCCCCTGATTCGAGGCACTGTAAACACACATGAAGAAAGTTGATCATTTGTGACAACGCCAACAGTTCTGATCTGGATCTTCAGCAAGTACGAAAGAGAGAGCCCAAGAAGCCGGATGAACGAATATTTGAGGATGTCATATATTCAAACAACGGTGACACTATCGCCCTTGCGACCGCAAATTTTGTATGTGGGTTAGCTGTACCGGTGAATTGATCAACTGGCAAAGACGCGCCAGTCGCTATTCTTTTGTGTAGAATCACCAAGACCTGGGATGTACTTTCGTCAAACGATCTAATAGCTCCAGGGCTAGCAGAATCTATTTTGTCTTTATGTCGCTAGGGACATCCTGAGATAGGAGGGGACTGCTGAGAGCATTCTTGTGGCATGGGGGGCTGGCGGTTCTTTGCACGGATGTGATAAGTGGAACTTCATCAGAGGAACCCGAAGCGAAGTAACGTAACTGATAAACTGTTAGAATTGCAAATGAAACTGTGTGCAAGTGATTTATAGGTATGAAGAAGCCCTCAGAGAGAAGATTAAGGTCGTCAATGCCTCACACATCCGCAGATGGTATGGCTTTCCGGCTAAGGATGATACGATGTATTCATCATAAACGGGCAAGGATGTAGTGAAATGGAACGTGGATAACTTACCGCTTTGTGGGACCCGTGAGGAGTGTAGGACTTTGTCCATTGGATCAAAGATTAGGGGTTCTGACCAGGAACTCAACCTGGGGGTGGGAAATCAACTCGAACATCGCGCATGTCAGGTAAATTAGATCAGTCATCGTAGGAGATAATTCTGCGACCTTGATAAGGCATTCGTGACACTGGTGGCCTTGCCATTTGCGTTTGATCAGAATCGTTCCCATAGTCTAGGAGGTTCGAAGGCTTGTCCTCCGGGGTGTGTCTTTTAGACCCCTTCCGTGACTGCGACCGCTTCTGATCTCCACCTTGCGCCTGAGACTCATCTTCCCGAGCTCTCTTTTCCGGTGCAGCGTCTGCTTTGCCCTCTGATCCACCATCTACAGATGACTGCATGCGAGCTTGGTATTGCGCCTCGTCATCCTTGAGCTGCCTCTCTCGCAGCAAGGCATGGATTTCGCTGTGTCTGAAAATCCGAATCTGCTCATCTGTGAGTGTGCGCTTCACTCCATCTGGGTAGTAGCCGAGATCCTCGTCTGTGGTCTGGTCATTTTCTTGGGGAAACACGGCTGGCTGGTGTCCGGGGAAGTGTTTGGATTGGAAGGCTTGGAGGTCATCCTGGGGAAGACAGAGAGGTTAGGAAACATCTTTGATTACTGACGGAGAAACTCACCAGAGTTACATTTGGGACCTGCATGGTGGCCCGGTGTTGATGGAGAAAGATGGGAGTCGCGAGAAGACGCGATCAGGTGGGTAATATTACCGTAATTACCGATACCAAGTTGAAGGAGGTGAAGATCCACTCTCGCCTGGTCAAGGGGCAGGGAGGCAATCACCACGACTTTGTTTCTATAAAAGACAGAGACAGCAAGTTGTGAGATTCCAAGTTCCATTCTGATAGGGGATGCTGGAAAAAGGCGGTAAAAAAAGCATACTTTGTGCCAGAGACTATTCTATCTATATCCCTTGATAGATAGGTGGATGAAAGAATCTGAAGCACTGAAACAAATTGAATAGGTAATTGGTCTCGAGTTTAGGATTTTATTGCCGAGATGGCCACAAGAGACAACTTCCGATTTACTGGAAGAAAACCACCTCTTATGAGCCTTTTCCTAGTGGTATGCTACCGACAATATTCCCAATCTTTGCTTTGACACTATCGAATCCAACCTGGATCCCCCGTAAGGCTTGCAGATCTATCCCAGCAACCCGTTCGCGTTCCTTTACACTAGGCTCTGACAGACTCCAAGCAAGTGAGATATGGAAGCATCCCGAGAAATCTTCGCCGCTCATACTACTACTCCCTTTGCGGAGGGATGCACTGGTCTGCTGCCCTTGTGTCGAGGAGGTTGCATAAAGTGGTGGCTGACCAAAGCGAGCAAGAGTTTCATTTGACAGCTTTAAGAGGCGGTTTAGACCGTCATGGCCCGGTCTCTTCATGCCCAAGACGAGAAACCAGCGTGTCTTTTCATAGTTAGATGACCAATATAAAGTATCCGGTTGAACGTCAAATCTAGTTCGAACATTAGATGATGGTTAAAAGGTCTGTAATTTTGGCACATACGACATAACATGCGACTCGTGGATAGCCTTTTGCAGCGCCTCGGTGAACGAGGCACGTTGCTCGGTGCGCAGAATCACCGGCCGAGATAGGCTGATATGAAGGGGTAGTTGGGCACCAAGATCGCTATGTAAAAGACTGTGCACCACGGGCGCTTTTTCATCCGGCACATTCCCAGAGTGGGTGATGAAATTCTCGAGGGGGGATAGCTCGTCTTTCCCCGGGTACCCTATCAAAGTTAGCTCCTTGTGCGAGTGAAATGACATCTTCGATCTGGCACTCACATTCGAGGTAAAGATGCGTTGGCCAGTTTCCTTCCACATGGGGAATTACACGCGTTCGACCGCCATGGAGACTGGGTATATCTTGCACGCTCACACGTGTGCTCGAGGCATAGAGGTTGTGGAATGATGCAGGTAGGGGCGGCAGCGATGGCCCCGGATTGATGTTGTGGCGAGGTTTCTTGGCTGGGCGGAGAGAAGATCTAGATTCTGAGTCGGATTCCGAATCAGAATATTGTACTAGGGGCATCTCATTTGTTGTGACAGGGGAGTTGTTGTGTTGATGGAGGTCTGGTTTCTCAGATGTGGAGCCAGTTAAAGTCAGGAGCCAATCACCGCTTTCTATTTCATCTATAAATTTATGTTTTCATACTTGGGATTCTCTTATTTCGATAATTTATCTCTAGTTCTCTTGTACGGTCACTCGTTCTTGTCTACCCATAAACCGTGTCACCAGGCCCTAGGTATGTAATAACTGAGCTGTAATTCTACTACAATTACGTCAATAACCCTGTGCCTCACCCTTCCGAGTGACGGTGCACAAGAAAAGCCCACCAATCATTACATTAATACAGTCGTGATACTGCTCATACCTCGTAGTTCTTGTTAAATAATTCTGGGCTCATATAATCAAAAGCTGGTAGAACAACATTGTCCACGAAAACGAACAACCGCTAATCAAACATCACTCTCGCGCGACGCAATTGTTGCAGGCCCCCCAGAAACCCAGAAACAAGAGCCTCGAACATCATTACCCATAGAATGATACGTATATACCCAAGCGAGAGTACCAGAAGACTCTAATTTTGAATTGCACCAACAAAACATTCTAATTCCTGCTCACGTCGATTGACCGTCAAATCCAGGTACTGTGCCCAGAAGCAAGCTCAGACGCTGGAATATTTCTTGCATCTCTAATTCAAGTTCGGTCAGAGTGAAATTGGTTTCCTGGTTCAGGAGAAAGCAAGGCACTATCCACGGCTAATCAAATATCTGCCGAGCAAGAATGCGGGGATCAAATGCTTCTAGAACCTACAGCTTTGTGGGACATTGACTTGGATCTTACATATCAAGGGGACGATTACTGGACAAAACCAGAACATCTCAAAATGCGAAGACACCACATTTGAGTCTATGAACTCGAATCTGTTTCTGCTCCAAGGAGTGGTGTGCTTATGGCCAAGTTTTGGTTCGTGTTTGTTTTGTGGCTAGCAGTTCAGGCGAATTTTATGGCTTCTTCGATTGGCACTCTGGTGTTTGATATATTGGCAGTTGCTCCTGTACTTTTGCCGGCAAGATGACGAAATAATAGAGTATTGGTACAACGTCACATGGGCAGTCTAGGGGGAAGGATAGTGTGTACGGGATGTACATAATAGAGCCGATCAACACAGAATGACATTGGACCCCACATCATCATTTTCAGTGAGACAGTATAGACCAATCCCGTAAATTACTATCAAAATTAAACTAGACCTATACCCGGTCATATCCTAATCCCAACGGTTGGACAGCATGGCCAACTACAAATATAATTGATACATAGCACCATCAGACCAACGACCAGACGAAGAATCAGACTTGCTAGATGAAGCACCATAATGTCTCAAACGGTCGATGACTGTCTAGATCTAGTTCGGATGTTAGATTTAAGGGAGCCTCTAATTATAAATAAACGCCATTCTCCACCTTTCGTGGCTTCATTCGATCAAACAACTTTCTATAAAAATCTGATAACAACACAAATCAATCCAGTGAGGATCAGTCCCTAGCTTTCTTTTCATATAAACATTCAAGGCTAATCAGCAACCAGCACAGTTGAACGCTAGTTCGACAAAACCAAGATGAAGCTCAGCATCATCCTCACGATCCTTAGCGTAAGCTTTACCGCTATTGCGGCCCCTACTCCGAGAAACCGTACGTAATCCTTTCCATTAAACTTAGTGAGAATAATTCCTAACCGATCTGGGTTCATGAAGAGCTTGAAGTTCGTGATGTCGATGCCGACGATGCCAATCCTACTCCCCCAACCCCTCCCACCCCTCCTAATGCTCCTCTTATTCCTGCTCCTGGTCATCCTCCTAGCACCAGTGGTCCTTATTACCCTCCAGTCCCAGCTACTCCACCAACTCCACCGACTCCTCCCACCCCTCCTTCTCCTCAGCCTCCTTATTCTGGACCCGTCAATGCACCCGGATATCCTGCCAATGCTCCACCGACGCCTCCAACCCCTCCCACTCCTCCTACTCCTCCAAGCCCTAGTGGTCCTGTCTATGGTCCCGTTTATGGTAACGGCAACTACCCAAATGCCCCTGCCACTCCCCCGACTCCTCCCACTCCTCCTACTCCCCCTGCCACTTCTGGAGTCTAAGAAGGTGATATGGTTGGAAAAAGTATTGCTATCTGAAAATGATACTACTGGTACTGGTAAGGTCAGTGAGAATGGGTGCTTTGTACTTGATGCTTGATGCCTGATGTGAGCTTGAATCGCGTTTACACAAATTGCCGACGTTCTACAAGTTATATGTTAGTACAACTGACCAATAATCAACGTTTCACTTCTACTTGATAGTTCACTTTGGTTCTAGCTTAAATCTCGCATATTATCCTACAGGCAAGCCTAGTGTTGTGACTGAAGCTTAGTTGAACTAGATACCTGTTTCCACTCAGATTAATTTTCTTGTGATATCGCTTCTAATATACGCACATAGACCGTGGGATAGCATGAACAGTATCAACACGTGTAATAACCGGATTAATGGAAAAGATTCTGATAGGTCAACATTTAGTTCAGTGGCGCCCGCAACATGAGATTAGAGGAACATTCGAAGTATAAATCCATAGGCCTCGCCCACTCCGCGATGTCCGCTTTCTACATTGCTAGACAAAACCGAGTGGCTGTCCATCTTATTACCCTTGCGCTATCGTCTTGGTTGTCGGGTGTTAAAATACGGATAGAAGCATAAACCATCCCCGTATTCTTTAGCAACTGGGCTCGGAAATGTATTATTATTCCTTGACGTGAGTAAATACGAACTTGTATTGAGTATTTCCGCGAGAGCGGAAGTAGAGGAGATGAGCCGCACTGTCAAGAACAGTAACATTTCCTGTTTAATTCGAAATGTAACATCGGATATTTATTCACACGACAGGGGCCTAGGAGAACGCGTAATCTTTGCACCGGCTGGAAATTCAAGATATAAGATGAACGCTTCGTCCCGCATTTAAAATGCGCTTAAAGCCAATCTACTACTAAGCATACAGATACCATATACGGTAAGAGCTAGCTTCCACAAGTCTTATTCTCACTCGCTTATTTAGTATTATGAGTAGCCTGATCAGGAGATATGAAAGTGAACACCCTTCTCGCAGTGTTGAGCCCCGCCCTTCTTGCTATAAGTGCTCCTGTTCCTGATCCAGAAAGTGAGTATAATATTGACTTCTGGGTTAGCATGAGACCTTAGTTATTGGCTTAAAACCGTGGGACAGAGTTTTGTTGTGTGAGAATCTCACCTGGTCTGACGGATGATCTGTATAAGATGGCGCCGCTGTGTGAGAATGTTGTTTCTTCGTATAAACGCGACGCTGAACCGATCAAAAACCCTAATATTTCTATCGTAATTCCTCCTTCGCAGCCAGCTCCAACTTGGAATGGTGACGATCCTACGCTGTACTGTGTCCCTCCTCTGCTTTGTATATAGCTCCCTCCACGTGTAACGTCAAAATCGCCAATTGCACATCGCAAGTTCCTCTTGTCCCTTGTACATGCAATGAACTATGTTTTGGGCGCTTTGTGCGGAAAATCTTTCTATTCCTGGTTGATCGGAGAGTTACTCTACTATCATCCATATCAATGACGCTGATGCTATTGTGCGATGAGAAATAGTGCTGATTTGCCCTAAAGAATGAATTTCAAGCGAACTATAAGTTTTAATTGGCTATATTGTACTGTAAACACATATAGTAAGTTCAAGACACATGATCCAGATTGTGCGTGTAGGACGAGAAAAATCATATGTAAATAGTAACAAGGAGCAAAAAGCGGTGAAAATATAATACACCAGAGAACACTAATTTGCAATTACCTACGGAGTAGTGCAAGGGAGTCTAGATCTAGACCAGGCCAGGGGTATGTCAATGGCACTAAGTGAGACTTAGCCGCGATCTTCCCCTAGCGATAAGCTTAATCCATGAACGAGTCATCACCCGGGAACTCCGGGAACAGATCTCCGGCCGTTTTTTAGATTATTAAGGAAATTGGCCTTTTTGGTCTGGATCGCTAGTAGGGTGACAATGGAAAACTAGAAAGAACCATAAAGAAATATATATGTGGAGGCAGTGTAGGTAGGGATATCGTCATAGGAGTCGATCAGTACGTGGGCTGCGTGGAAGTCTCGGATGTGGAATGCAACATGGGCCTTGCATGGGTTTAGTCTTTATGCATGGTGAATCATGGCACCTATTTTTCAGTAAAATAACTATAGAATATGGAATTCTAATCCACTTCAATTCTTTGTGCCTGTAATAGGGGAAGTAGTTGAGGTTGTGTAGTACCTGTCTACCACATGCCATGATATCATCAACTCCATACTCACCTATCGGGAGTCGGCAGCCTCAAGTACTAAGCCCAACTTACTGACCCACATGACCTTTTATTCTAAGCGATTAATTGGTAGATGTAGTAACTGAAAAGTTAATAAAATACTAAGCCCACTTTAGAGACTACTAAACCATGTACAGCCACGAGGATCATAAAGCGTGGGCGACAACGCAAGTCATCACGTCACGTCCGCGGCTTCCCTTTGATATAAGCTCCCCTCGAGTCACTCGTACTTTTCCCATCTACATCTACCCATCTTCATCCATTTCTCTCTTCTTCTCTTACAGCCAACATTTACAGCTGCTGTACGGGCTACCCTGCATCACTCCTCAGCCTCGGCTGTTCTAAATAAAGTACTTCTTACTTATAACACTGGGTAATCCTTGCGCCTTGCGCCTTTCACACTGGATACATTTTCATCTTACAAGAACCCATCAAAAAATCTCGAAATGGCGGTTGACTGCATCCCCATGGCCTCAGCACACCATCCCCACCATCCCTTCAACCAACTCAGTCAAGATCGACACCAAAACGTGGGAACAAGCATGGGCAGTAACAACCCATATGCGCGCTACATTTCGCCAGCGCCCTCTACCTATTCTCGACGGTCGCGTTCTGAGTCTATGAACTCCGGGCCTTCCATCTGGTATTCCGGCACACCCGAACATTATCCGGTGGAGCCGAGACGCAAACGCGATCACTCTGCTGCTCATCATCGCAGCACCAACAAGTACCCCCGCCATTCACAGCGTGTGCAACCCGATATCATTGACAGGCTGGACAATGTCACCAATTTCTCCTATCACCACGAGGGCCCGTACGACGCTGCCCGCCCTGAACGAAACCGCTTTACTCAGTTCAGCCCTCTGGAAGCCGTCAAGGAGTCAAATGCCGAGGCCCTCCGGGCGACTCCCCACCACAAGATCGCCGACGCTCTAAACAGTCACCGGCCACTGGATGGTGTGGCGTTTTACCCTCCTGGAACCATGGATCGCAATGGACAGGAGTACTCCTACGAAGAAGGCTCGAATATGATGAACGACTTTGCTGGTAACTTCATGCGCCTTCCTGGCACGGTATGTCTTGCTTCCCATTCCATTGTATCACATGTGCTAACTCGGTTCCAGAAATTCACCGATGAGGACTTCAAGAATGATCCATTCTATAACCGTCCCCTGGTGAACCCGTTCTCTGAACTACGAAGAAAAATCAGTCTGCGACTCAAGAAACGACGCAACACCCATTAAATGGGTCTCTCAATTTCGACTACTTCACGACCCTGACGAAAGATTACTTGATGATTACTACGGAATTGATGATGGCTGGAAAGCCTGGATGAACTCTTTGGGATTCGGGGTTTGGGCTTTGGTTGGGTTTCAATTTTGGGTTATGGAAACGGTCATGTGTTATCCTTTTTGTATTCGGGAGTTTAAAGGTTATATTATTCGAGAAGGTTTCAATAATGGACCTGTATATCGATAATTCATGTACGTACTTGGTAAATGAAAGGCCAAAGGCCCATTTCAAACTTTTCCTTCGTGTTCGTGTTGGTCAATCTGACCAGTAGTCAGCCAAGCCTCTACTTTGATATTTCAATGGAGCTATTCCACCTTAGCACGCACTTGTTGTATGTGATCCAGCTTCATGAATTATCATTTTATCACGTTGATCCCATAGTGAGCGCACAACATAGATTTATTTAAAGACCCCCATATCCACCTCCACTGCCGATCAAGGAATGTCACCTGTTACACAGTGCCGCTCGGCCTCATGCCGTATCCGCCCCCTCGCAGGTGCAGATGTAGATCACGAGTTCTCCATTCCCCAGACACCGACAATGTTTACAGCTTGAGTTTCCGATGTCAAAAATGGCCGTAGAATGGATATACTGCCTCAATATAGCATCAGTACGGGCTTAATAAGTAATACTATTTCCCATACAGAACCACTTCCTAAACAGGAAAACATGTATCTCTCTCTATGTTGTACTCCGTATTCAGAAGAAATAACTTTGATCTCACTCCCATCACCCCGCAATAATATGCAATAACCTGCAGCTCCAAAATCTTAATATTGCCTTTTCGACGTGTCTCAACTTGGCAATTTGATGGCAAGACACTTGCGAGAGATGAATGATGTTCACACGAGATTAAATCCAATCTCGAAACTACAATGCGTGTACATATTTTCAAATCCTGCTTTAAAGGCCCATTCAAAGGATATTCCGTGGTGTATATAGGGCAGGTCAGTCGGGCACTGCGAACGCTTTGGGCATGAAGAGGAGTTGCTGTTTAGCTGCATTTATTACGAGCAACGCTGATGCGGTGTGATATTAGTGGTCGAGTGAGATGCGGGGTTGGATTTTTGTTAGCCATTGAGGAAAAAAATGTTTTTTTTTTGGAAGGATAAGAGGAAGAGGACATAGATATAGAATCACTGAGTAGAATTTAAAATTTTTTCTCAAATGCACTGAGAAGAGAAGAACTTGTCTACTGTAGACCGGGGACAAATGCCAAAGGCCACGTGACCTTTCAACAAGGGGCAAGTGTCATCTGCACAATCAACTGGTGGGGTTTCATGAGCTTTGTTTTAGACCATATCTTCTTCTTTTTAAAGTGAACCCTGATCTTGTTCGTTTGGGGGGCATCCCGTGTTATATGCGCAACTTGGATAAGGCAGACATCTGAGGGGTTGGATGTGGCTGCCTGAGGCCTATTCGTCACCAAATCGTTTCAGCCCTGCAAGGTTCCCTATCCATGTAGCTATCCTTGAGCTATCCTTTCACGATATGTTCTCCCTCGCATGACCGTGTTGATTTAATTATCAATTACACATATTCATTTACAATTCTCCCCTGACTGAAATCCTTGAGGATCACAATCTATCCAACAGGACCCATCTTCCATGTGATAAGAACACACCCCAATGCCATGTAGATCTCTGGAGGTGTGATGCACCTTGCTCGGGTAATATCAATGTGATTTGATCTGCATTGAAATCCTGCAGGTACTCTGTACTCTCTGTACAGGCAACAGGATAACACCGCGCATGGTTTGACACGAAATGCATTCACACTAAAAGGAACATAACATCACGCTATTACCCCATCGCGACCATACACCTGCTCACTGAACATACCCTTCACATGCAATACCAATCCTTCAAATGGACAGATGCCCGACGCTACGAATGCATCATGTGCTAGATAACGGACTCCGTCGGAAAGGATGGGGCAATCAAATCGCCATGCCGATTGTTCCTGACGACGTTGCAATCACCTGCAGATCCCCGCTTACCAACAACCAATCTCGGCGTCACAGCGGGTCTTGTCCCCAACTAGCCACGATCGTTATTGGCAAAGCTTGGTAGGGTTTTAATATCTTAATATCCGCTCGGGACGCAAATCGCTCCGATGAGCACTGGAAAGAAGAGGGAATGGGATTATAAAAGCTGACCTTCCTGCTCCTCGGCCCTAAACTAGGTTCTTCAAGCTTGTGGAGGATTATTCCAAAATGTTGGTCTTGGCTCCCTTTATTTCCTTGGTGGCTGCGGTCGCGGCGTTGCAAAACCCGCATCTCAAGGCTGCTTCGTTCAGACGGCCTGCAGATGCTCTGCGCAAAAGAGAGGTTTCCGCTGCTCCGACTGAGCATAAGTACCTGAACGAGAAGACGCAAAGTAAGTGTAAATCTTTGTCATTGGTAGAATTCCAAGACCCTCTACTTACAATTCACTTCTTCTAGAATTCCAAGTGAACGGAACTCACTTCCCACAAGTCCCCTTTGACATCGGCGAAAGCTATGCCGGACTTTTGGAGAATACCCCTCATGGAAAATCGAGCTTGTTCTTCTGGTTCTTCCCATCTACCAACCCAGCTGCGGAAAAGGAGGTACGTTGATTTCAATCTGTCGCAGAGAGTCTCATCTAATTTCCTCCAAGATCACCATCTGGCTGAATGGAGGCCCCGGATGCAGCTCACTTGACGGTCTGCTGCAAGAGAACGGCCCCTTCCTGTGGCAATCTGGAGTCTATGAGCCTGTGCGCAACCCGTACGCATGGAACAAATTGACAAATCTGGTTTACATCGACCAGCCTGCTAGCACTGGCTTTTCTCCCGGCCCAGCCGATGTTGAAAATGAGATCGAAATCTCAAACCAATTCAATGACTTCTGGGTGCGCTTTATTGAAACCTTCAGCATGGAAGGCTATAAAATTTATCTCACTGGAGAAAGCTATGCTGGCCAATACATCCCGTATCTGGCAGATGGGATGTTGAAGCGCAACGACACCAAAAACTTCAACCTCAAGGGTATTCAAATCAACGACCCGTCCATCAACGATGATTCCGTTATGATCTATGGTCAGTAATTCCTCTACCGATAAAAGACCCCCATCTTAACCAAAACCAATAGCCCCTGCCGTGGCAGCACTGAACCACTTCTCCAACGTCTTCGCCCTTAACGAAACCTTCATGAAAGAAATTAACCACCGCGACGACAAATGCGGCTACACCAAATTCCTTAACGAAGCTCTCACCTACCCCCCACCAAAGCATTTCCCCACAGCACCGGACCCCAACAAGCCCGGCTGCGACGTCTGGGACGATATCATTACAGCAGCAACCTACATCAACCCCTGCTTCAACATCTACCACCTAACAGACTTCTGTCCCTTCCTCTGGGATGAAATGGGCTTCCCATCACTAGCCGGCGGACCCAACAACTACTTCAACAGCTCCGCTGTCCAAAAAGCCCTCAATGTCCCGCCGACAAACTACGAAGTCTGCGGCGGTGATATCTTCACCAACGGCGATCTTTCACTTCCTAGCGCGCTCGGCCCGCTTCCCAGCGTGATTGAGCGCACCAACAATGTCCTCATAGGCCATGGATGGTTCGATTACCTGCTCTTCGCTAATGGAACACTTGCGACGATTCAGAATATGACTTGGAATGGTGCGCAGGGTTTCCAGAAACCACCTACTGGACCCCTGTTCGTGCCGTATACATCTGCGCTGGATAAACTTGCGAATGGAGATCAGACTACGCCTTGGAGTAATGCTGCCGGTGGTGGTATTCTTGGAACAGCGCATACTGAGCGTGGTCTGACCTTCAGCTCGGTTTACAATTCTGGTCATGAGATCCCGCAGTACAGCCCCGGTGCGGCTTATAGGCAGTTGGAGTTCTTGCTTGGCAGGATTAAGAATCTTCAGCAGGAGGGATCTTATACGGCTTTGTAGATATTATCTCGGGGTCTAATTCCCGGTAATGGATGTTAACCAGGGATCATTTGTATGGGTGTGCAATACAAAGGGGCCTGGTTTCTATTCAATATAAAAGAATATACATGTATATAACATCACGCGTCTTCAAGGCAACAAGTCGCATTATAGGAGCTCGGTACGGATGTGAAAGCAATGTAATTCCATGATTGTAGCGCCAGGAACGCCACGCTACTTGACAAAAAAGCAACAAAAAAGTCACAATCCAAGACAAGGAACTCACTCTGTGCAAAATACATACAGTAGAGCTCTTTCGAATACCAATGGGTATCCCTCGAACAAAAGCCTCCACCATGATGTGGTTTGCTGTTCTGGCCTGTATCGCGCCTCAGTTGTAGGTTGTCCGGGGATACCGGGCTCTTGTGGAATGGCTAGGCAGAACGGCATCATCAAATCCAATTCATTGTGCGCCGAAATCGTCCTGTTATCCACATGTTGATTATACTACCACCCCTTCCTTCACGGGACCTCCACACTCCATATGGTAGCCGCGTATTTCCATCAACTTGATGGAGAGTGTAGACAAATCCGCTATGATAATTGAGAGATGGGATGGGGTTCCATTCACATCATACCTCCAAAGATGGATGTTCAGGCCTGTCAAATAACCCCCACTCTGGGGGTGGTATCATGGGTTGTTGTTTGGAGATCGCACGGCTGGTACAAGCACGTATCCCTCAAAAATCGACATGATCTGGCAATGGAAGCATGGTGGAAGCAAGCGGGCGGTTTGTTTAATACACTTCCGTAGCCAGATTGGCTCTAGGGACTGCTCGGAGTTGTCAATTTAAGTGATTCAGCTATGCTCCACGTGTAGAGGGCCAATGTAGGTCGAAATTCGTCGCAACAATTGCAGTTGATAAGATGGGAACTGCGAATAGGCTTGAACTTAGCTCGCCAAATTGCGCAACTTGTACCCAGTGGAGGCCACTCACCTTTCGATGTTCACCACCCCTTAACAACCGTAGTATTCCTATATAAGGGCTTGCATATCGAAGATCGATCTGAACTGCGCAGTGTCCAGATTAATATGAAAGATCCCGGCGTTGCTGATAACCTGGTTTCCCAATGCGTTTCGATGATTTGTTTGCATAAACACTAAGGTTTTGGTGAAACATCATGTACTCCAAATTTCAATGAGACAAAAGGGAGAATGAAGCGGCAAAAACAGGCGAAGTGTTTGGGACTGGTGACCAGGGCCTCCTGCAGTCGGCATTCTGGAACTTGAACTTGAATCCATTGACGATATTCGGTCTTGTCGCCTCACCGATATCATACGAGTAAGAACTGCGCAGTCGCAGGCTCTACTGTAATTCAAGCATCGGGTAGTTCATCGGCAGCTTCGTTAAAATCCCACAGACGCATAGTGAGCTTATCCCGGTAGTATTCCAGACGTGGAATGACAGCAAAAGTCTCCTTGTACCGAGTGTAACATGTTGTCTGTTCCGTAAACGCGTTGTCGCCCAGGAAAGTATCATTTATTGTGGGGGCATAGTTCTTTCGCGTTCCATGCACGCATTTCACGCGTTTTCGGGTCCCCGATGTGAATCTTCCTGTCGGGTCCCAGGTATATGCTTTGAATTCTATTGATGGATCTCAAATTAGCGTGCGAACCAAAGGGCTTTTAGAGGAATAATATGGTCACCACTACACTCTGTAATGATACCCGCAGAAGTCCCAGATGCCTCTGGCTGGGTCGACCTTCTTTTCAAATTGTGGGCAAGTTGTCGTTGAATGTTCTGGAGGATTGCTGTCGTGATCTGTTACGCTTGGAGGTCGAGGATTTCTGGCGTTACTGAACGAAGGAGATCATTCATCACAGTCATGTGTCCACCGTGAGCCTCGATTTCCGCGGCGTATTCCACACTCCTATATTCGACAAGTAAAGATGGTCGGGAATTTTGAGAGTCTAGGTTGCTCTCAATTTCCCGGGAGGACGTGTCGATGTAGACACTGGAGAATATTATGAGCCAGGCAAGAGCAGCATGAGGGAAAGAGATGATCAGGGTGTGGTATAGTGGATGTGGACAGAGTCAAGGTGGGTTTATATGAATCCAAGGTCCTAGCGGGGAGTAGTTTGCAGAGTTGCACCTTCCTTGACCTTTGCAGCTATCCTGCTGTGCCCGTTTTATATTTGATATAATGCCCACAAAAAAAAGTATCGGTAGTTGACACAGAAGTACAAGTATAATAATCTATTATTTCCCCTGTATATAAATGGACTCTAAAAGGAATCCCATTAGAATGAAAACAGAAATATAACCAGATATTGACTCTGTTAAGCGGCTATTTATGTTGGAAGAAGCAATATGTATGACGTCATTTGATGGATCTAGCCGTTGGTCATTTTTATGCTCTGGACAGTACACAGAAGCTCAAAACAAATGCAATTTCCTTCCTTTGAACACACTTCTAATGTCTCTCTACTAATCAAAATAAAATTCAATGTATAGAGTAGACAAGTACCATCGACTATCTCCAATTAATCCATTAATTATTCTCATATATTCCAATCCTGCTCTATCTAACAGCGATGTTCCCCCTCTCATCAAAATTGATCAAAATTAATACACAACCGTTTATTTCGAAACATCCCCTCAAGCTAGAGGGCCATGTTATTTCATTCAACAATCGACCATTTAGTTCTTCTTGGCAGCAGAAGTAGCCAAGCCGGTGCTGCTCGCCACACCGGAAGAGGAGGGAGTAGCAGCCAAGGGGCCAATCCGCAGGACGCCACAAGGGCTAGTGGGAGCAGTGAGACATCCACCAAGATACTGGCCGAGGCTACCAGTCTCGTTGCGAGAGGACAAGATCTGGGTGGGGCCGTAAGCTGACACAAGAGAAGTAGAGTTCTGGGCAAAGTAGGTCGAGTTCACACGGCTACCAATGATGGCAGAGTGGGCGCTGTGCTCGGCAGCCAGACGAGCCAAGAGGAAAGAAACCTCAGGGGACTCGGTGTAGCCGGCAAGACCGATGAAGGCACCAGTGGCGGTATCCTCGAAGCGGTAGGCCCACTGTGCCCAAGTCTGGGTGCTGGAGACCTCGGGGAACGTGTAGTCGCACGAGGGCTTAGAGAAGCCAGGGGCTTTGGCACCGACTTTCTCGATGGCAGCGCTGGATAGAGTGTTATCCCTCTCGAGTCCGAAGAGGATCCTCTGGTAGGCTTGGAGGGTGGCGTTGTTGGTGCTGCCGAAAGTGCTGTTCACGGTGGAGTTGTAGAAGCTACCAATGAAGTCGGAGACACCCAGGGCGAATTGGAGGAGCTTTGCATCGGAAGCTGAGGGCGCGCAGGTTGCGGCTGAGCTTGCTGCGGAGGTGGTGGTGGCGGCGGAGGTGGCAGTGACTCCGGCCAGGAGGAGGCTGAGGATATTGAAACGCATAGCTCTTGGAGTTGTCTCGGAAGAGGTATCGTGTGGGCGTAATTGGGGGAAATTTTGTTGAGAAACAGAAGAATTGCACGCCCCCAGGTAGTTAAATACCTTTCAAACCCATGAAACCACGCAATCTTCCAAGTCGTCTCGAGTCATCTCGAGTCATCATCACCCCAACGACGCATGCGGTAGTAGGCTTCAAGTACATTATACCAAGTAGAGTTTCCAAATAACCGGTAGTCTCCTCTACATTGGCGTCATGGACCACAATATAAACCTTTGAGCCTGGGCTGTCGTGGAATCAATATTGCCCATGTTCTCTTGGAATGACGTCGACCACTTGAACACTAAGCTGGATGATATAAAAATCTGTCGAGGTTAAAGCTTCGAAGATTCAAGATTCTGATTAAGTGGGTTCCGGATCGCCGGGATACCCGGTGTACCCGATGACTTGGATCATGGCGTCGTGGATGTGAAAACTTTACTTAAATGTTGCATATAGAATGTACAAAGTAAAGACCTGTGAGAACGACAAAAATGACAGCTTCTGGTGCTAGAAACAGTCGTCGTTCCACCGTAACTTCCAGCGGCAAGCGGCTCGAGCCCATCACTCTAAATCACTATTTTGCGCTAACCGCCGTTAGTCCTCCTAAGCCACCCGGGACCAGGTGGAGACGGGTTCCAAGTTTGACGCCGTGCCTTAGTAAGCCATTTCACTTAGTTATGTACATTGATGACTAATTGTGCATATTTAAATTTCCTTTCTTGGGTTCAACTAATCCAACCTTCAGATGATAAAGAAGTTTACCGGTTAAAACATTTAAAGGCGAATTTTTCTATCTTGTTGTATAGAATACACTAATTTCTATCATAAACTCCTTTGAAAGGGCTGTGAGAAGTTCTCTGGGGTGAAAACAAAAATAAAAATTATCCCTTTGGGAAGATATATTTTGGCAAATGTACTTCTAGACCCGGGACTAATTTCTAATTACGTAAATTTATTGTTTTTCCCTACACCCTCTATCAAAATATTGTCTAGAGCAATAACTCTATCCGAGATTTAATATAAACTTACGCCTAATTCTCCTACAGCATAAAGAAAATAATTGCAGTGGACTTGGTGGGTCCTTTTTCTGCCAATGCTAAAGACATACGATAGCCCTGCAATGGACTCTACTGTAGAGGTGCCGATGGAATAGAAATTTGATGGACAATCTACCTCCAGGAAATTGTATCCTGCGAATAATCTCTGGGGTTTTATACCTCACAACGCATATTTCCATTCGACAACTTGTGACCTTAGTACCCACACCCTTCTAACCTCGCCTAGTAGGCACGGAAACTAACCATCTACCTTGGCGGCACCTTTAACCAAGTCCTCGATCTTTGCGTTATTGCTTAACAGCTGGAGCATTGAAACCTCAAGCCCGAAAGTCTTGATCAGCCAGTTCCGCAACTCTCCTGCCACCAGGCTATCCACACCATATCGTGAGACCGGCATATTAGAGTCAATATTGTCAGCTGCTACGCTGAGGAGCTGTGCGAGACGCGTAGTGATGGCCGCCCGCGAGATATCCAGCTTTTCAGAAAGTGTCGACGCATTTTGTAACTGTGTGGCGATCGAAGAGGTACCTCCTGATGAGTTGCTTCCAGCAGAGGCAAGTGTCCGAGCCCGGTCGGAAATCGCCTGTCTAACTCCCTGGAATCTAGAATTGTTGTACTATACAAGATCGTCCACACGATCATTCTCCAGGTAGGACAAGAAACGGCCCGGCTCAAGGCCAGTCACCACTTGTGCTGGGTGACTAGTGTCACGATTGGAGAAGGATGATTCTTCTGATGAGAGATGCGGCTTGCAAAGGGCACCTTCTAGCAGCTGTAGAAAATCGGTTTCTGACACGCCGTAGGTGGCATTTCGCTGAAGCATCTGCTGGAATCCGATAGAAGCGCTGACAGAGCCGACTTCCAGGATCAATCCAAGGCTGAGGGTTGTGGCAGGTAGGGACTGCAAATCACGATACTTGGAGAACGAGTCCTGGAATGCATTTGCGGCTGTGTATGCTCCTTGGCTAGGTGTACCCACGGTCCCCACAATAGAAGAAGTCATCAAGAAAAATTCAAGTGGGAGACTCTTCGTGGCGTTATGAAGGTTGATGGTGCATATGAGTTTGGGCTCAAGGACCTTCTGTACTTGGGACCAAGTGGCATTTTCGAAGAGCGCATCCTAGATCCAGCAAGTACTACACTCCTTCAATTCGTGGGACATTGGAAACTTAATCCTTCCACCATTGCAGCGTGAATCATTCCTTTCACTTGCCGCATCGCAGTTAGCTTCTCTACCACGGAGGCGAGAGCATTCTGATCAGCAACGTTGCATTGGATTACTTCTGGGTCGGCACCAGCTGCGGCTAGCTCTTCCACAATTGAGACAGCTTCACGCTTGTTAGCCCCAGGCCGGGAGAGTAACGCCAAATGCCGAGCTCCGTGCTCGACCATCCAAGTGGATAAATTCCGACTAAGACCGCCCAGGCAGCCAACTAGTAGATATGTGGCATTGAGATCAAAAGCAGCTCGAACTACTGGCCGTGAAATCTTTTAATGGTCAGCTTCAATGTCCACTATCATTTTCAACACCGAAGTGATGCCATTAACTACTCACCTTCAGTGTGGCATTCGGATCTCGTAAAGTTATGATAAACTGCTCGGTGTGCAATCCCTTGAAAAAAGAATTCATAGCGGTCTCCAGGCGAGAAATACAGAAAGTAGTCAGGTGCCGAATGGGACCAATCACGCCTTCGTGGATCAGCCCGGTCATCTCTGTCATCAATCTATGATATGTCAGTTAAACCATATGCTGGTGATCGATGGGGAAAAGAAAGAGCACGTACTTGGAGATAAGGTCTGGGGCTACTATTGGGAACGATAATGTTTGTTCCAGCAACCAGGCAAATCATCCCAGTTGTATACAAGCCACAATAATCACATAGTTGCTTGATTCTATTAACAATAACCACCCTCACTTAAGGGGGGTTGGAAATCCGATATTGATCACATTTCGAGACATTGATGCCAAGCTGTCTAATCGAGCTCGAAGCGGTAATACTACAAATTTACAGTACGAGATACAGTTATCACCGTACCCCTGTGGGATTACGCATTTGTGTCATTAAACCAGTCACATTCTGATCCAACGTTTCTTCGTAGGGGGCCTAGAATTCCGATCCTGTCATTATATTGCTGTGCTCAAACTAAATATAGGTATGTCTTCCGGGATTCGCGTGGGGGCTGAGCACCGATGCAGGGGTGATGATGTCGATCACTACCATCTTTATGTGTGGAAAATTATCGAAATCCCCATTTTGGGGACTCTGCCTACCCCGAATATGGGATAGATTCGCAATTATCTAGCGGGGTAATGTTTTGGAGAATGGAGCCGAAACTCCGACAAGCTGACAGTCAAGCCGCATACATCAATCATGAGTCGATTCAGCAGTTAGTGCATGCGCCGGAGATCGAGGCGTACGTACACGTACCTTTGTCGTTGAAAGCCTGAGGCTTAAAATACTTCGTTATTAGCACCAATCCCCAAAAATACAGAGTAGAGATAGGGAGATTCGCTGGCTACAATCGATGATAGATCATACTGGGTGCAGTACAATGCTTTCAGGGGCTATGCGTCATTTTTGTGTCATCCCAAAGCCCTTGCCCTGTCGGTTGATACACGCACGGATAAGCTGCCTACAGAGTACACACAGCACATAAGACTTAGCCCGCCTCGTGGGACACCGGGTGCTGCCGGCAGTGATGTGTGTTAGGGGGGCCAGGAGGCTTGTGTGGGGCGGTAGGGGAGGGTTTTGGGGGCTTTTGGGGGTGGGCGGGTTCCATCTTCCTACATGTAACGAACCACATTGCATCCGGCGAAGCGTTTGGGGTTGGTTCGCTGACATTCAATTGAAGCTAAAAGATGACTGCCTCTCGGAATTCTGAACAGCACGATATGGGAAGAAGAAAATCTGTTATCGTAGTGATGTGTCTGTCAACTAACAAGTCTGGTTGGTCATTTGGATTCCGAATTCCTGCTCTTCGGTCTATGGAGGCACATGCAGAAGTGGATATACTCTAGCTAGAAAAGTAGCATATGCTTAGGGTAGAAAGATTGACGCTTCGGTAGTTAGTGCTATTGTTACTAGTATTTTTCAACCTCGGCCACAGATCTTACAAACCAAGCAAGCTTGTAAGTTTGAGAAACACTGATATCGCATCCAACTTTTCAGTAAGAACTAAAGATTGGTTTTCTTGTAGTAAGATTAATTTCATATAAAAAAATGTAATATCCGCAGGAGATATGGCCTGAGCTCGAGCGCTGTCGATCATGCGTGTGCACGCAGTCAGAGGGCCGTTATGCACAGCCGAAACAGGGGTATGTAGTTAGCCGTTGCTTCGACCAGAGTGGGCCTGATCCACTTTCCCCGGAGACGTCCGAACTAGGTGACAACCTTGGAATCTAGTTTGCTTGTGCTCTTGGAATGGAAAAAACGAGATAGTTTCGCCCCCGGGTCGCTCAGAGGGTACATTCCCCGATACAGGCAGGTTTGAACGACGTGGGATTGTATACGCAATCCGAATCCCGACGGTCGTCCGCCTAGTTTGCAAGATTTGGACCGGCCCTACGATCAATGGAGCAAGATACAAACATTGCGATCCACCGACAGCCGGTAACGCCGTCTGATCGGCGGACATAGCAAACCGATGTATCTCGGATGTGGATAAGACAAGCTTTGGCCGCTTCGTATATTTAGATTAAATCTATGTAATTACGCCACTACAAGCGCCTTGGCCGTGGCCCCTGTTCTACATGCAGTCTACTCAGAGTATCATGCCACTTCTTGATTTCTAGACCTTCAAAATAGATTTCAAATCCCACATCCGAGAAATCCGGTAGATATTACAACAAGTGGGTAGATCTACTCGTCGATAGGGATCATTGTTTACTGCTCATAAAGGCGTCTCGCAGATCCCTCGAGGCGCTTATACATATATTCCTTGGTGGGCCTATGGAATGGGAAGCGGGGGGGGGGGCGACCCATTTTGTGTTGCATCTTGTCTTATACCCCGTAGATCCTTCTTTGAGTGGGTCAAGGTGGTATCAGAAAGCGATTGATATACGTAGATGTGATATTCGATAGACATAGAACGGCTAGAGTGACGTATGTGCGGCCATGGAGCATTTCGCTTTCGACTGTACCTCTTATTCTAAACCTTGTCTGGGTAAAGTCTTCGTGCTTGTATTGTTTTACGCTTGTCATTATACCATTCTGGTAGGCACAGAATATACACTTGGAAAAGGGTATGCAAAATAATTCAGTGTATCCTTCCACTAGAAATCTGACGTGGGTGGGAGAAGAGCTATATGGCAATAGATAGGCTGAAACACTTCACCATGTATGAAGCAACTATAGCTAATCTTTCCGGTCACGTTATTTAAACAGTGCATTATAGTTCCTCACGATTTTGGGAGGTTCTGAACTATATGCTTGAATCATTGCACTCTCCTCAATATCCCTATTACTGAGATCTTTTTCAATGTCAAGATAGCTACCACCAAGCTATCGTTGTGGTAGAGTTGAAGATAGCCGTGGTCCACGATATGCTCATGCCCATAGTGCATGATGGCTGGGTGCTCGTCAAAGTCAAAGCGGCTGGCATCAATCCAACCGATTGGAAGCACGTCAGGTATGGAGGTGTAGATATCGGGTGCAGAGTCGGGTGTGATTACGCCGGAGTTGTGGAGGATGGAAGCAAAGTCTCCAACTTTACAAAAGGTTTTCACGGCAAAGTAGTAGTCAATTTATCTAGTGGTCAAGCTTTTTCAAATAGAAGACTATAAGCATTTAATAGTAGCTAAGCATTTAATAGTAGATAAGCATTTAATAGTAGATAAGCATTAACGAGTAGCTTGGTAGTGACTAGTAAATGCTTAGGGCTTAGTAGTTGAGACCACCTGACAGCGGGTACAGCGTAATTTATACCTTTCACCTCTCACTAGTACTAAACCTTCTACTACATGCCACTAAAAACCGCTGGTAAAACTCCACCTCACTGCCTGACTACCCCCCCC